GAGTTGGAGGTTGCTGTGAGCTGTGTCACGCCACAGCATTCTACCAAGGGCGACAAGGTGAGAGTCTGTCTCTAAGGAAAAAAAAAGGCGGGGGAGGGAGGGATGTCAGCAATTCCCAGAAACTCTCCTGGCATGGCCCTGTCCTGAATACCGCCAGCAGGCACACTTATCCCTGAATCAGGGCTTACAGTTCAATATGTTACAGTCCTTCAGTCCAGGAGCATGGGCTTCATTCCACAAGTAGGTGTCATGTACAAATTTGAGTTTTCTTTTTTCTTTTTTTTTTTTTTTTTTTTGTGAGACTCTCACTATTTCGCCCTCAGTAGAGTGCAGCGGAGTCGCTCCAGCTACCTCCAACTCCTGGGCTTAGGCAATTCTCTTGCCTCAGCCTCCCGAGTAGCTGGGACTACAGGCACCCACCACAACGCCCACCTATTCTGTTGCAGTTTGGCCAGGGTCAGGTTTGAACCCACCACCCTCAGTGGCTGGCACCCTACTCACTGCGCCACAGGCGCCGCCCCACCTTGGCTTCTTAGAGTAGTAGAATGACAGGCATAAGCCTCTGTGCCCAGCCTGAGAACCACTTTTCTATCAAAAATGTAAAAATTAGGCTGGATGTGGTAGCTCACACCTGTAATCCCACCACTCTGGGAAGCCAAGGCTGGAGGATCACTTGAGCTCAGGAGTTGGAGACCAGCCTGAAAGACAGTGCGATCCTGTCTCTACTAAAACTAGAAAAATTAGCTGGAAGTTGTGGTGGTGCCTGTAGTCCCAGCTACTTGTAAGGCTGAGGCAGGAGGATCCCTTGAACCCAGACTTTGAGATTGTAGTAAGCTAGGCTGATACCATGGCACTCTAGCCTGGGCAATAGAGTGAGACTGTATCCCAGAAAGAACAAACAAAAATCCTTTTTCTAAAAGCAAAGAAAAACCTCAGTGGTGTTTATGGAAATTTCAAGAATTCACTTACCCTGGGTGAGTCAGACTCCAGGAGCTCACAAAAGTATGGCCAGGCGTTGTGGAGGGCACCTTGTAGTCCCAGCTACTTGGGAGGCTGAGGCAAGAGAATCACCTAAGCCCAAGAGTTGGAGGTTGCTGTGAGCTGTGTCACGCCACAGCATTCTACCAAGGGCGACAAGGTGAGAGTCTGTCTCTAAGGAAAAAAAAAGGCGGGGGA